TATTAAAAACCTTGATTGCAATGTTCAATCTCAGATGCTCAGACAGTGATTCATCCCTTTATAAATCATTAAAATATCGCTGTCTCTGCCACAGCAGGTCCAGAGACACCATGTGCAAATCATGGTTTTTATAATAAATATAATTACAGTGGTCATAAATGGTTATTGATGTTTTTTGTTTATTCTAATGAGTAATAGTTTTAGTTTTTGCTACTAGAATTGATGTATATGTTCCTGAAAATATAATAAATATGTTGCATTTTACTAATAAATATATAGGATTTGTGTGTACGGCAGCATATACAAATGCTGAATCCTTTTTGAGTAAACAGTCCCAAACCACAGATGCACCCACATATATTTGCACTGCGACTGAAGCCGCACATGCCGAACGTGAACCATAAATTCCAGCATAACGTACACACTTCCAAACATCCGCAGCTCCGTCGTCAGAGAGCCAAACCGTGTACATCACCTATAAACTTCAGAAAAACCACAAAAGACAAGCCACAGACATCGCCTTCTTCTTCTGCTGCCGCTCAGTTGTGGAATTATTTGAGTAAAAACAAACATTACAGCTTATTATAGTCTAAATCAGATATCACTTATTAAAAGTTACCTGAAACGCATCTAATTAGTCGAACAGGACAGGTAGTTTGTTATCACGGCACGCCATAATGTTGAGTATAGTAATGATACTTATTTATTTTATAAACTAGAGTGTTTAATTGGTAACAATTTTCAAATGACATCAAAGCCTCCATTTATTCATTCATTCATTCATTTTCTTTTTGGCTTAGTCCCTTTATTAATTCGGGGTCGCCACAGCGGAATGAACCTATGAACTTATCCAGCGCATTTTTACTCTGCAGATTCCCTTTCAGCCGCAACTTATCTCTGGGAAACATCCACACTCACAGTCATTCACACACATACACTACGGACAATTTAGCCTGAACCACATGTCTTTGGACTGTGGGGGAAAACGGATCACCCAGAGGAAACCCACGCCAAAGCAGGGAGAACATGCAAACTCCACACAGAAAGGCTCGAACCAGCGACCTTCTTGCTATGAGGCGACAGCACTACCTACTGCGCCACTGCGTCGCCCCCAAATCCTCCAGCAATATATATATTTTTTTTAATTTTATTTTATTTTATTACAGTTTTTAAATGACACCAAAACCTCCAGTGAATTAATTTAATTTAATTTATTTTAAAAAATGTTAATATTATTTTATTTTATAATTTTTTTTGTTTTATTTTATTTTGATTGGTAACAGTTTTAAATGACACCAAAGCCTTCAGTGATTAAAATAAAATTATTTTATTTTATTTATTTATTTTTTTAATTTTATTAATTATTATTATTTTATTTTATTTTGATTGGTAACAGTTTTCAAATGACACCAAGGCCTTCAGTGATTAAAATAAAATAATTAAAATTTATTTTAACTATTTTAATATTTTTATTATATTTTATTTTATTATTTTATTGTTTATTGTATTTTATTTATTTATTTATTTATTTATTTATTTATTTTGATTGGTAACAGTTTTTAAATGACACCAAAGCCTTCATTGACTGAAATAAAATAATTTTATTTTGTTTATTTTAATTTTAATTTTTAATAAGAATTTTTATTGTATTTCATTTAATTTTATTTAATATCTTTTCTTGTATTTTCTTTTATTTTGCATTATTTATTATTTTTATTATTTTATTTTATTTTGATTGGTAACCGTTTTCAAATGAAAACAAAGCTTCCAGTGACTAAAATAAAACTATTTCATTTTATTTTATTTATTTTAATTTTTAATTTATTTATTTATTTATTTATTTATTTATTTTTATTTTTTATTTTATTATTATTAATTTATTTTTTTTATTGGTAGCAGTTTTCAAATGACACCAAAGCCTTCAGTGATTAAAATAAAATATTTTTTTTATTTTTATTTTAATTTATATTTATTTATTATTATAATTGCTATTTATTATTATTATTTAAAAAAAATTTTTTACTTTGATTGGTAACAGTTTTCAAATGACAACAAAGCCTCCAGTGATATAAAGTTATTTTATTTTATTTATTTTATTATTTTTATTTTATTTTATTTATTTTATTTTGATTGCTAACAGTTTTCAAATCACACCTAAACCTCCAGTGATTCAATTAAATTTAATATTAAATTTTTTTGTTTTGTTTTATTTTTTTTGTTTATTTTATTACAAAATAACCTGCAATGCTCACTGTGGTTCCATCTTATTGCTGATGTTTTCTTGTTTTCTGTTATTTGATTGATAAAAAATACTCTTAAAAATGTATTAAAAATATTAGTCTTTGGTTAAAAACTACTTTAACAAACTACTGATAATAATAATAATAATTAAAAATAATAATAATAATAATAATAACACTGCAAAATTATATTTATTTAACATATATTTATATATCCTACAGTTACAGTAATGTTTCTTATTAAACTTCCTTTAAAATGAAAATCAAGAGTTGACTAATCAAATAGTTTGCCTGGATTTCATGGCAGTGTAATTTATATCTTTATAATATTTTTTATATTAGCGTTAATAGCTTAGACCCACCTGCATACTAAGACTGATGACATAATTGAACAATGAGCAGTATTGAGGTTACTCTAATTACCGGAGCAATTACAGCATGTGTGCATGCCAGCAGTGTGTGTCTGTGTGTCTGTGTGTTTGTGTGTCTGTGGTTGTGTGTGTGCGTGTGTGTAAATTGGAGAGGGTCTGATTGTTGGTGTGTCAACTGCAGCTGTGTCCACATGGGCAGAGAGCCTGCACAACTAATAAGCATGGAAGTCTAATTCATCCACTGCTATAACATCAGCTTTCATGCCAAGCAAACCAACAAGAAAAACATGTGGCTCTGACATGGCATGCAAAAAAAAACCAGGCAAGAGCAACCACACACATCGCCATACAGCAGACTCACACACATGTCAAGCTTTCACCTGAGGAGCAACAGGTGACACGCAAACACTTTTCTAATTAAAAATTTAGTATCTTACTATGTTTTAATGATGCTAGAAAATATTTGCATACTACAAATAGCTAATAAAAATGGCTAGAACGCAGAATATTTGCGGATTCGCTTAAATTTAAACTAAAAAACTTTGTATAAATCTAATTCAAATCGTGATCAAAATATATTAAAATAACACTGCTTGTAGATAGTGATTATTATTAGAGTCTCATTAATTCCAAGTAAATCTATGACCAAGTAGATCTTTAGCACAATAGAAATCAGAAGTAGTGTTAAAGGAAATAATAGTAAGTAGTGGTATTATAGTAGGCACTAAAACAGTAGTTTTAGGACTTTAAGGAGAAGAAGAAGAAGTAAAGGAAACTAATAGGATGTGGTACTAATTTAGCTGCAAGTGAGGAAAGCTGTACAGAAAACAAATAAAGAATAACTATTAGCACAGAAGGAAATAGAAAATATGAAGAAGTAGTATTTGTAAAGTATGAACACTACTAGTAGGAGTCAAGAAAAATAATAAAAATTTGTTTTTGGTATAGTAAGAAAAACAGCAAGTAATCAATAGGAAGTGATATTAGGACGGTAGAAGGCAGAATATTGGTAGTAAAGGAAGCTATAATAAGTGGTTTTACAATAGTAGTAAACTGACAAAGTGGGGAAAACTGTTTAGTAAATTTATTATTACAGTAGGAAATCAATAAGAAGTAGACTGGGAGATATTATTGGTATGGCAGGAAGTGAAGAAAGCAACACAGGAAGCAAATAGTAGTATAATTACAGTAGAAAAATTACACAAAGTAGTATTAGTATAGGAAGTAGAAGCAGTGGTGAAGGAAACTAATAGGAAGTACTTTTTAGTATGAAGTAGACTAATTAAAAGTATTGGTACAGCAGGAAACACTGTAAATATCCAACTCATGAGCAAGTAAAGTACAAAAGAAGAGCAGAAGCAGTAAAGGAGACTAATATAAAGAATTAGTTAAGCATGAAGGACACTAAGTAGTACAGAAAACTATTCAGATAGTATTATAGTAGGAAATCAATAGGAAGTAATATTAGTAAACTAGGATGTATTAAGGATTGTTACAATAGAAAACTAATAAAATAGTATTAGTATGGTAAAAAAACAAGTGGTGGTATGGAAAATAATAGAAAGTATTTTGAATATAATAAGCAAAGATCACAGTACTACACAGTAGGAAACCAATAGTAAGTAATATTAGTACTGCAGGAACCAGATAAACAAGTTTACAAAAATACTATTTTTTCTGTTTTACTAAAGTTTTACTTTAGTACAAGCAGCATTGGAATAGTTTCTTGTAGGCTTAACTAAAAAGTATAGGTTGGCCTACTAATATTTATGCAAAAATATTAATTATAAATGAATAACAATATTATTAAAAAACTGTGTGGTAATAATACCAAAAGATATTTATTACAAATTGTAATAATTGCATTTGTATTTTTAAGTACTGCTGGTGCAGTTTTTACGCTTAAAAAATTGTTTAGGTAAATAACAGGTCTTGGTATAATCTTTACAGAATGGTGGGTTATTGATGAACCTGGTGGCTCTGAGAGACACATGCAGGGGTTCTCATGGTGAGCTTTTCCCGCACAGAACACTGCACAGCTGCGCCTGCGGGACTGTCTCTTCAATAGACGGGGGTCAATGCAAGCCCTGCGGGGACGAGCGCATACCAAATCGGGGGAGAACCGCGAGGGGGAGGGGCTGCGGGTCCTGCGCACGTAACTTTGGGAACGTTCAGTTTTCGCACGCAAGATAACGCAAAGCGTTTTCGTCACGAACGCGCCACTCCAGCTTTAAAGCGCATTTCTTTTGGCGAGACAAGCGTGAACTGCGCTAAGATTTTGGAAGGAATCTGTATTGTTCAGATCCCTCCTCCTTCTTGGGAAGTGGGAGGACCCGAAAAGTTCCTCGCAAAAGGGAGAATTGTTCCAGGACTCAGTCATCCAAAAACTTCCTTTCAATGCAAGAAGTTGGGGAGCCGAAGAAAATGTCGGTGCTGCTGCAGCAGTAAATTACTGAAGCAGTAGCGGTTTAAGGGGAAAAAGAGGAGGAATTGGAGTTTTCTTGGATTAAATAGTGGGAAACGTTGGGAAAAGTCGAACTCCGAGAAACTGGTGGATTCAACTCCAAACTACTGCACGTTTTTGGTAAGTCTCTCTCTCTCTCCTCCCCCCAAAACATCTCTTGTTTTTAGGAACCCCACCATGCTATTCTATAAAATTACGCTAGTTTCTATTACACTTCTGATTATTTACTGCACATTTGTACACATGCGAAAGCTCGTCCAGTAGAAAGTATTGCGTGTTTTCCATCTCCCGAAAAATCCTTGTTTTATATTTTGGTTAAATGATGCGGGTGTTAGCTAACTAGCTATTCTGTTGCGACGGACTCTTATCAGATTGCTGTAAAGGATTCAAGATTTTGTGTTTGCAGTTTTTTTCTTCTGTTAAAACCTTTCTTTAAGTTTATGACGGTATTAACGTTAGTTCAAGTGAGTTAAATTCGTTTTGGGTGCGGGTGTGAGGTTCATTTGTCCCTTAATGCTAAACTCAGGCACACATAAAATGCGCTTTAATTGATCAGATCAGATTGCTTGCTCATATCGATGTTTCACTTATACAGTGTCATTAAAGATGTTTTGATGTGCAAAAGCATATTTAAGAAGCATTTTGGCATGATTTTATAGGCCTCATCAAGCAAGTAGGTGACATTACTATCTACACAAATTTACACAAAAATAAATAATTTTATATATGTATTTACATTAGATCAATGCTTAGATTTCTGCTTTTTTAGTGTTTTCATGTTTTTTTATCTAAAAAAAAAAAGTTGGTCATTAGAAAATTGTGGCCTAAATGTTTGTTTGTAAACAGTTACAAAGCAGTGTTGTAGCTCTTGCATAAAATTTACATACTTAATAGGCGGTTTAGTTTTACTTTATGAAAGCTAAACTAGCTTTAGTTTTTTATTCACACATTTTCTTGTAGGTCAATTATCTGCTTTAGAACAAAAAATGAACCATTTACATCATAGATCAATGTAATCCATAATAAATAAATCTTAATGCGTAATAAAGGTGACTGCAATAACAAAACAACAATCTTTACTTAATTATTCACATTATGTATGACTCGATAGTTCAGTTGATATGCAAATTAAGTAAAGAAAGACTTAACTATGATCTGTAAGATATATATTTTGCTCACAAATTACAAAAACAAAAGCCTAACTAATGTATTTTTGAGATTTGGATTGTCTGTGCACACTTCTTCTGCTTTATACAATCCATCAGGGTTGTTTCTTAGTCATACCATGGTAATACTATGACTTAATAGCAACGATCAGCAAAGCACCCACAAAAATGTTTGATCCCAGGTGCTGCATTGTTCTCCAAAAAGAAGAAAACAAGCCAACTGAGAGGAATTCTGCTGGCTGACCTTGCATTTGTTTCAAGCTAGTTGATAGATTCTTGCGAGCCAGATCGCCGTACTCGGATGCCAAGAATTCAATCTGAGGAAAAACTGTGGTAGCTGGTTTTTGCTCAAGATGATTGGTGGTCGGGTGGATCAAAGTTGTTCCATAATTGATTCCAGTCTGATTATCTTGTTGGCTTTCATACTGTTCTGACCTTATTTGGTGATAATGCTGGGAAGGCCTATTAGCTATGCACAGATGGATGCACAGATTTCAGATGACATGCCCTCACTGCTCCGCATTCTTTCAGTGTAACAGGTATCCCATAGCTGAGCCAGAGAGGCCCATCTAGGGATTTGGAGAGGGTGATAAAGGCATATTAGATGGGAGGGATGAGGCTGATCGGGTATCAGTGTGGTAGAGATGTCAGGGATGCAACATATGTCTGTTTTTAATGAAAAAACATAGATAAGGCTGTTGGCATCAGCATAATTAACTGATTTTTATTGCTCGACCAACAGAGAGCTGATTAGTGTTGGATATGAAGGGTTTTTGTTGCCTCAGAGGTTTTGGACAGGCTTATTGTTTTCTTAAAGGGTGTAACTTTTTTTGTTAATTTGCAAAAGGCTGCGTAATAAAGAATAAAAAAAAAACTCCTCCAGGTCGGCTTTCAAGTTTGTTTCAGCGGGTATGTTCATGTAGTCATAACACCCTAAAGGCAACAATCTGCGGGTTTGTGTGTGTGTGTGTGTGTGCGGGTAAAAGATGCTCTCCAATCAGGATTATCTTCTCATAGTGGAATGCACAGTGTGTCAGTCTGCTATTTCCAAACGCGCTCTGAATGATCCCAAGCTCAAAAGTATGGCAGCTGTCATGAGGCAATTTTTAGCCCGCAGTGAAGAATAATCGTCTCTAAAGTTTTAAGTCCCTGTTGGGAACGCACCTGGTGGAGGTAATTTAGTTTCAGAGCTTTCCCCATTTCATTAGGCACATAATAACACCTGGATATCCAGGTTGCTCACTCACTTTCTCTTGGTTGCTCCTAAAATAATAGCTTCTTTATTGGGACAGATGGTTCCATGCAGAACCTTTCAAATGTATGAAATCCTGTCATTCCACAGAAGGTTCTTAAAAAATGGAGAAAAATTTCTTGCTGGGCAATAAATCGAAAAGTAATTGAAATCAAAAATCGGAACTTATAATTGATCAAATTTTTCCAGGTCGATTTTTCAGATTACTTTCCCTACCACGTGGGGAGTCAAGTGACTGTTCATTTTAGGCAGTGTGTGCATTAATTGATGCACACGTTGATGTTCAATAAAAAATCATAGATATTAGATAGTGTGTGTTTCCTTCAACCCTTTATATCCTAAAATCAAGTAATGCATCCTTTATCATTCAAAACTCTTTGTGAAATATGTGATCATATTTACTGTACAAAACTTGTCAGTGAACTATAAGAGCAAAAAATAAATACATAAATAAAATAATTGTTCATAATCGCAATCGAGTTAAAATGTTAAATTAATCGAGACTTTGGTTTTTGGCCAAATTGCCCAGCCCTACTAAAAAGTTATTTTTTAAAAATATTCCTCATGCTTAGAAAAATCAAGTTCTTTCAAGATTTGATCCATGAAAGTTTCTTTGAGGAGATAAAAAAAAGTTTCCTCTATGTAAACACAGTGAAAACCTCCCCTTTTTTGTAGAATGCAAATTGTTAAAGGGTTAAATAAGAATAATTTACTAATGTCATTCCAAATCTGTGAGATTTTCAGAGCACAAATGAAGATGTTTTAAACAAAAATCGCAAGATTTTTTGTTACATGGTTGAAAATCTGTTCTCCCAAAAAAGAGATATTGTGAAATAAATCTATTCTAAACAAATTTTCATGATTAACAGATTTAGACTTTTATGTAGATGTGAGAGTTTAAGGCGAATAGGCTTTCATCGGAGGGACAGGAATTTCTCTGATATTTATTAAATCATCTTCATTTGTGTTTTAAAAATTATTATCTTAAATAATTGCTTCTTTATTGAAACTGCACCACACAGAACCTTTAATATCCATGAAAACTTTTCATTCCACAAAAGGTTCTTAAAAATGGAGAAAAAGTTATTTTAAAGAAGTACTTTCAAGATTAGATGTTTGGTTCTGTGAAGAAATACAAATCTTTTTATGATGCATAAATAAGCAGTGAAACGCCTTTAAAAATCCTTTATTGGTAAACTTCTAAATGTTAAAGGGTTAAATGTGAATAATTTAAATCATTTACTCTCCCAATGTCATCTGTAAGATTTTTGGAGCACAAATGAAGATATTTTAATCAAGTTTGAGAGACTTTTGTTTCGTCTTTGAAAATCTGTTCACCAAAAATGAAGAGATTGGGAAATAAATCCATTTTATATTGCTTGCTTCATCTAATCAATTTTTTATGATTTACAGATTTAGGCTTTTTATTTACATGGGAGAGTTTGGGGCGAATAGGCTTTCATTTGAGGGACAGGAATCTCTCAGACATATCTTCATTTGTGTTCTAAAAAGGAATAAAAGTCTTGCGTGTTTGGAATGACATGAGGGTGCATAAACAAAGACACAACTGTCATGTCATGTTTGGGTGAACTAACCCTTAAACTGCCTGTTGAAATATTTAATTGCACTCTAAAACCTGAGACGAACTCTCTAATGTGTTACCATGTCACTTCACTGGTCATTGTGAGAACTGTATCATGTCAAGCGCATGTTTGACCAGAGCTGTCTGTGACATCAAGGAGACGCACAAACATAGCGGCACGTTGCGGATTGTGTCAGTGTGTCTGTTGCAAGTCGGTGAGATCATTGATAAACTCCAGACCCTGGTAAGTAAGCAGCGACTGTTTGCAGACAAACAGCTCAGTGTGTGTAAAGCTGATATTTGTACAAAGATTAAGGACCGTTTGACAAGCGCAGAGTAATGGAGATGCTCTTGAAGACCGTTCACACTCTCTCGATAACTTGTCTTTAGAGAGCTATAGCTCGCTGTCAGTCACACAAATGCCCCCCCCCTCCCCCCCCCCCCCCCCCCCCCCCGCTCACACAAACACTCCATTAGTATCTTCATTGTCAGTCAAGTGCAGATTATATGACACTTTCACGTTTTGATAATTGACAGTTTACTAAAATGTCTGGTATCAGGATTACAATGTATTCAGACTGAAACTATATTAAGATTTAAGAAGAGCTGAATGATTGTACTTTAAATTTGACTTGCTATATTCAGAACAATTCAAATGTTTAGGGTGTGTAAGATTTAAAGAATGTTTTTGATACACTTTTTCTTAACATAGCTGCAATTATTTTTTTTAAAACAGACTAAGATATCTTTTTAATATCAGTGTATAATACAAAACATTTTATTAAAGTTTTGATAACTGAATTTTGAAGCACTTGTCTACAATCTTCAGGGTCGTACAATCCTTCAGACGTCATTCCAATATGCTGATTTGATGCTCAGGCAACATTTCTTATTTTCAAAGCTGAAGTTTACTTTTATGAAACGAATGTTCAACAGGATTTTATAATACTGAGCACTTTCTAAAACTTTTACTGTCTCTAACCCAATGCTTTTGAATGGGGGTGAATATGAAGCTGGTGACATTTTGTAAACATCTGTCTGCAGCACTGCGGATTTGTTTAGTGTTTTGTTTATCTTTATGCTTTTTGGACACCATGACACTTTCAAAAGCCAAAGGCTA